CAGTCGAATGTGTAGTTTTATGTATTAAATAAATGTATAAAAAATGTTTTGTGTTTTTGTTATTGAATGCTATAAGAAAGTTACATTGCTCCACAGAACACTTTAGAGTAAAAAGGTGCGAGGCCTTTTAAAGAAGATATTCGTTGAATATGAACAAATGTAAATTATTTTGGCTCCCTATAACATTTAGAGTGAACAGGTGTCAGGGTTGTTAAACAACCAGATTTACCATTACTAACACAGCAAAATGGCTCAGTTTGTATTCCCCATAATTATATTTTTATCCTTAAACTGCTAAACATGTTTGGTAAACTTGGTCAATGCAGATCAAGGTCAGTCTTCATATCAATTTTGTCTTATCATAGTCTGCACTGTTCCTTCGGCAACAATAATATCTTGTCTGTCCATTTATTGATGATCAATGGTACTATTCAAAATGAAATAGATGAATACAGAATCCCTAAAGAAAGCCCAACACGGCAAAATTGAAAATGTTGCAGGCTCGGTTTGATTGAGCCTGTTCATGGACGGTACTGGAAAGTGCAAGTGCAATAATGCCCTAGTCAGTTAGAGCCAACGGTTTTATGTTAAATTTGATTTTTTTTGTTTATTCAGTTCAAGATAAAGTGAACACTGACATAAATTGGTGCACAATAGGTAATACTGTTCATCTAGAAATATATTTATATTTTGGCGTCGCCTTTAATGCTTTGCATCAACGCCTTTCTTGTGATAAAAAGAACTGTATTTGTTTTTAATTGGGCTAGCTTGTTCCAACTCTTTATTATGTTTGCTCATATGGGACAGGACTTTATTTCACTTGGTCTATATGAATACCCAAGGATTTAAAAGAGTCCAGTCTGTTATTATCCCCTAGTTTCTTCTTCCAAGAGTAAGAGTAAACTTTATTACACAAAGAACATATTATTTTGCGTTGGGGATGTTTTGTTTAGCTAATGTGAAAATTATATTTACTGATTCAACTGTAAAACTAGTTGTAAACTGGATTGACATAGTATTATGTTATAATATGTTAAACAATAAACTACTGAATAAAAATGTCAGTCTTTACGACAATATGACTGATCACTGCTTGTTTCCACGTTTATAATCACCAAGTATGCGTTTTTGAATAGATAATTAACTTTTTATTCGTTTCCACGTTCTTATCAAAAACAAAACTAGGTATAACAAACTAATACCTATTTAAATTAAACGGTTGTTCGTCTTCCACTACTTGGCACTAGAAGCAAAATTTTGATTTTTTTTCTAAAGAAATATTTTACTTACAGTCAACAAAGCATATAAGATAGCAAAGAAAGGATTTATAAGAAAATGTATAGAGACGTAGAAACAACATTCATTTATTCTCATTATTAGAGAATAAAACTCCAGGTCATGAAAGAAGTTCCTTTATTGTCATGATTATTATTTTATTTTTATTATTATTGTATTCATTTATTTTTATTCTGCTGTGGTAGAAAATAGGCAAATGAATCAGTTTCTTTAATGTTATTAATATTCTTATTTTTTATTATTTTATTTATTCATTAATTATTTATTTATTAATTTATAATTCATAATTCATAGTGTGGCGGGTGTGTCATTTTAGTCAGATGAACAAAATATTAAGGAATCCCTGACTTAAGTTCAAAAAGCAAAACGTATTAAATTAGGGCTTAGGAGTAGCTTGAACCATTATTTAATACATTTTTGAACAGCAGCAACAACAAATGGAAACGCAGAAATGTGTTAACAACTCTGCCCTCTATCGTTTATAAACGATATAAATGTGAGCTCCTGGCCGGATGACATGTGTGGTAAATGTCACCCTTCATGTATGACCTTTGTTCTCATATTTAACATTAACGATAAATTTCTCTTTACAACTGACATGTCTCTGGTATAAAATATTGAACAGCCCCTTTTTTGTACGTTTCCATAACCTTTATTAGAAATCAAAAGCACGTTTTGGTCGTTTGATATTGTGCATGGTGTTTCTTTTAATATGTCTTCAATGGTGAGACCATGTATTTCATATTATCTAAGGTTTTGATTTATTGAAAGAGCGACATTTTTGCTCGTGACAGTCCATTGTTCAGACATACGAAAGTGCTAACTAATCAAATATAATATTCTACGGGTCATCAAAATTGATGTATGTTTGATTATTATCTCGCAACCTTTGAACAATTCGACTGTTAATCAAAATGAAGAGTAACGTGACTGACAGCAAAACCTAGCGTAGCCTAATGTTTAAGACACGAGATTCATTCTGATTCTACTACCACTCATGAAATATGTTCTTACCACTCGATGAACAAATTAATTCTGTATATATAGAAAGGAAATCCTGAATATCCTTCATGAATTAACTGAGTCATTTTATTTTGTTTCTTTGGCCTACTCTATGAACAATTCGTCCCTTATTCAATCTGGCAATAGACAGGATGCTGCAAACTTTGGATAAATAAATAAATTTTGGAAAACATAAGCAAGCAATGTCATCGATGTATGATGAACTCGTCTGGTCCGCCTACTTTTTTATCTGATAATGATACTAACTCGTTATTTCAGTAAAAGATGAAAAAAAAAATGGTTTTCTTGCTGTTACAACGGTCTTAAAGTTTGCTCGTTAAGTTTATTACCTGCTCGTATTTGATTTTACAAACTTTTTGTCTGGATATAACTGTGGCTAATCAATACGTTCAATTATTGGTTTTATCTGCAACTTGAGAAATGTTCATCAGGCTTGTAGCGAGTGTTGTCAAGTCAATCAATTTATGAAAAAGATAACTAAAATTATAGAGGTAATCCATTTGTCAATGTTTTAAAATATAAATGTGAAAAAAGAAATAGTGTGAGGAATAAGTTGTTACCTTTGGGATCAGATCAACGACGTCTTGACGTATTATTTACAGCAATTTGAGATCTTTTGAGTGTCTTTCTGCTACTCGTCGCCCTATTTTAGTGAAAAACGTTGAATTGTCCTTCATTTTGGGTCATTGTTAATAATAACAAATATATTTGCTAGAATACAATTGGCTGGTCACGACTTATATCAAATGGTACATAAATCACGAAATAAAACATTTCGAGTCCCGTCATGTTTAAAACCTCTTTGGAGTCCCTTTAAAGTATATGTATAAAGACATCAAACTATTGTGGTTATCATCTGTTTACTGATATTAATATATAGTATAGTAAATGTTTAAATATTTTTACTGAGGCACTTTTCCAGTATGTAAACAAAATATTTGTTTTCCGATCTAATACTTATTTATAGTGTTATTCGTGTTAAAAACAAAGTCAGGGTATTATCTCTCATGAACAGACTGAAGTTAACCGAGCCTGCATTATTCATATAATATTGTAAGTTGTGTTTCCACATTCAGAGGGATCTCCACTATTTCTGAATTTTTATGATGAAAATTATTTCAAGTTTACTTTACATTAAATGCGATAATCTGTTTTCACATCGAAAGAAAGTTCTTAAAAGGTATAAATATGTATAAACTTGTCAATTAGTGCATCCCGCCAACCAAATTAAACTATTAACTAAACATCCAACACACTCAAAAATTTCTTCGTATTCGTAGCAAAGATATTTTTTTCAAAGTACTTTTTAAACAATATCCTAAATTGTATATCAACAGAATTAAAAACTTTACTTATTGGTACAATATGCGAAAGCGGCAAAGATACATTATTGCAATTGTCTTGATTTTGAGATTCTGTCAGACAGACTGTACATAGACAACATCTTCCGCCACTCGGCCACAGAAACCATCAAAAAAACAAGAAGAATTGTAGCACGTCTACGTTGATAACACTCTTAGTGCCGTATTGTTGAAGAAGGAGATGGTAATTCTTCTGATGTACCGGGATTTGCAACAAAGCTGATGTGTTGTATTTTCTAATTAACTCAATTACATTTTGTAACTAATTTTAATCAGTCTTAATACCAATAAGATGAGAGAAATTCTTAATTGTTTTCTTCCAAAACAATTTTAAATCAGAGGTTACTTGTTATTGTTTCATCTCCATATCTGCGACTTACTTATTCTGGTGATGATATTAACAGATCACTACCGCTAATTGTGTTTATTCTTTTCTAGACTTTAAAAATAGTTTGTGATGGGTGTTGCCATCGGGAATAGCTTCAATATTTCTTTAATACATATTTAACGACTTCGGAAGATATCAAATAAAAATAAGTATCGTTACAAAACACAGTAAGATTAAAACAAATAGATTAGCAGAAAAGTGTTACTACTTGTCCGTGATTCGCTTCTTCTCCCTATGCCTTCCATTGTTTTTGTTTTTATCCAGTGCTCTTCTGGGCTCCTGGCCAGATATCCCTTTGTCAATTGAATGTCGCCATCATTTTTGTTCTCATGTTTAAAACTAATGATAACTACCCCATTACAATAACATATAATAAATATTAAACGGACTTTTTTAAGCTATTCTATAAGCTTTCTAGAATATAAAAGAACGTTTTCGATCTTTGAAGCCAAAGTTTGATCGTTTACTGTGTTTCTTTTACATCCAATATTGAGACAACGTTTTCAAATTGCCTTAGATATGCATTTCGATAAATAAAAAGTACTGACCAATCACATATAATTTAATGGGGTCATTCTGTGTATTATTTGTTTGGATGTTTTTGGTTGAGACCGTCTACATTCACTGTGCATTACTCTATGCGCGCATGAGGGCGCTTCCGTCACAAAAAGAAAGAACAAGATATATAAGAAATATAAGCAAATAAGCTATTTATTGACAATAACAAACACATAAAACATATTGTCTAGCAAGAAACAAATCTGAAAAGTAAAAAAAATATATATTGATTGACTAGTAGCTAAGGCATGAATATACATAGTGATATTTAATAAGAAGAATATACATGTACAGTGTACCATAACATGACAAGTGGCTTACAACAGGATATTTATCTTAAATTGTTAGAAATCTTTCAAATATATTTACATTTTTAAGGTATGGATTCTTTTGAATGCTACAGTTTACTGCTGTTACAGTGGATTGTTTGAAAACTTCATACATCAATACATGCGCATTGCCTGGGATACTATATAAAATCGTAGTAATAACTTTACATACAATAATCCAAGAAAAAAAGAGTAAATACCTTTTATATTGAAAATATGTGCTAAAATATCGGTTTTGGGGTGATTGAAATAATAATTGAAAATATCCTACTTGTACCAGCACTATTTTTATCAATGAGCTGAAAGTGTACTAATAATATTTCCTAACCAAGTTAATAAACAATCTGAATTACAGCATTTTCATGCAAAATATGTTCAGATTTTGATAAATGATTCTGATTTGGAAAAAAACGTGTCAAAGTATTTAAAGCGAGTTGTGTGTACTGTGTAATCAGTTAATAAATCAATACTTTCGGAGATTGGCTGCATTACACGAAATTTCAACAAAAAACTACAAGAAACCATGTAAGACGAAACAATCGTATGGTCCTGAGATTTGGTCTCAAAGACAGTCTTTATCGTGCTGCAGGATTTACCAGACACAACTTCTTCAGAACATGTATAAAGCATTATTCAGCAAACTAAAACAATAAAGTGACCATGCACACACTCTTTTTAACTATAAACATACGACCCATACAAGATATAAAAACGTTTCAACAACGTTTTATTAATTTCTTTGATTTATTGTTCATAATTTTTAACCGTTGAAACATTATAAGCGAACGAAAAGCAACGGCACCTGTTTTTTCCGGCATCACAAATTCGCTTACACTTCTATTTTCTAGAGAATGGCACGTTCAAGTTGTCAACCAAGATACCAAGAATTCAACTATAAGACTAAAATATGCGTCCAATTTAATGGCGAAAAAAAATTTAATTGACCATTTATTCATATCAAACAGAAAATTGTGATAAAAGGATAGTCAATATATTCTCCCCCTCTTTCTTTCACCCGACTGTTCTAATCCTATTTTACAGTCTGTGTATCTGTTAACTGTTTCGACATAGTTATCTTTAATGTCCTTTCTTTTTTAAATAAACAACTTTTATCCTTGAGGAAAATATATTTTTTTTCACATAGAAATAATGTGTGACATTATAGATACAGGCCTGCATATGCTTAAATTCTCTAAGTCATCACCTTTAGATATAGGCATAAAATAACGTAAGCTTCTTTTGGAGAGTCTGGAAATGAGCCAGTTTCAACATAACTGTTAATAGTTGATCATAAATGCAATAAAAGTTTCGATGTGGGTTTAACAGTTACGTCAAATATTTGGTTCAATATTGTTCAAACCAGTTGATTAATAAGCTTCTCGTCTATAAACATTATACTACAAATAGTGTAATAGGTTGATAAACAAAGTTTATTGTTGTTCAGTTCATCATTTTTGTATTAGTCAAAGTTTGTGAAATTTGATTCTACCAAATTCAGTGATGTGTTATTGTATATATAAGGTGAAATCAATATTATTTTTTGTTTAATTCTTATGTAATATATTCTTGTTCTCTTTAAAACTTTTCGAATCTTAAAGTCTTAATTAAAGTAAGCGACAGGTCAATTGAAAAAGGTGTAAATTCGTGACATGAAATAATCAGTGGTATAGTAATTGCACAAAAATGAATAATATTGATATGATTGCATTAATTCATATCACATACGCTGTACAATTTCAAAACACAACTCTCATCATTCCAATACCATTCGCAATCTTCATTATATAATTGAACACAATCTTGAGAATTATAGTTGTTTGGTTGTCTTGGGCCCCATTTGGTAGCACCGGGAGTTTCAGCGAAGGCTGTCTCGTCTTCCCATAGGAACGTTCCTTCTGTTGCCATATCATTTCCCCCAATCCATATACGTAAATCAGTATCAACGGCATCTTAAAGGTGAAAGTGGCATGGCTATGGTTTAAGGTATGGTACAAATACAAGGTTTTATTCCTAATTTAAGGTCATTGGTAAGAAATGCAATTTCGATGACAAAATGGCAGCATATTAATATAAACACGGTGAATAATCTACAAAATATATTGAAGTTAGATCTTCTAATATACTGTAATGTTAAACGAAGGTCCAATAGACATTGGGCAGAGACACATAGGTATGTATTGAATATAAATATATGATATATAATATATTTTTAGAGCGATGGATGAAAATACAAACAAACGTACAGAATCCACTAAGAATCCTAACAATAAAATCATGTTCTTGTAGAGACTTTATTGACACCAGACTACCTCCTAGTTCTAAACATTTCGCCTACAAACAAAAGAAAATTTATCAATTTTAGATTACAATGATAGTTTAAAACAATATTTCTAGATATGATTCTAAATGATTGTAGAAAGTAGAAGTATATAATTATAAGCATTTCCAAAAATGCAAGGAATCACCGTTCGGCCAGGTACTGGATTTTGTTTTTTATTTATTTATCTTTTTTTTAATAATTTATTTATTTTCATTTCTTTCGTGAAATGAAACTTTTCCTGAAAAAATTAGAGCTTATGGTTCTTCTTTTAATAGAAATATTCTGAGTATTGTTTAGGAGGCAACATATGCAAATGATTTCAATATTTCAAAAATGCAAACGTAAAATTCAATAATAGGCTTAATGCCATAATCCTTATCATTTTATATCCATGTTTCTACAAAAATTTTTAAAAGATACTTCTTGTTCGTAAATACGAAGAATATTAACGACGTTGAGTGTAGGACTTTTTCAGACTAATGAATCGTCGAAGTTGAAATCGTGAACTCGTGAAAATAAAATTGTGAATTCGTGAAGATTAAATCGCGAATGTGTTAAGCTGTACTCGTGAATTCATGAAGTTGAAATCGTAAATTAGTGAAATTGAAATCTTGAATTCATATACTAGATGAAATCATGAATTCGTGATGTTCAAATCGTGAATTCATGAAGCTGAAATCGTGAATTCGTGAATTCCGTATGTTAACAAAAAATAGTTCACGAATTTATAATTGTGAATTCACGAAATTGAAAACGGGAATTCATGAAATTTAAATGTTCCCATCGGTCTTTCGTAATATATACACATACATTAAAGTGACAGTTATATTGTATTCTACAAGTAAAAGAATCTCAAAAATCTCTCAATGGGCTCATATATCGTAAACCGTGTGTACATTTATTATCAGAACATAAACATGTATTTATTTAAAAATCAGAAAATAAAAAAAAACAACAATTTACGGACCTTTGCATTTGTCCAACTCATCTGTTGTTGAATGAGCCGATAACCTAAAAAAACAATCATTTATGGTATACTAAAACGACCGTTCACATATTTTAAACATTTCTCTTAAACATTTTGATAATGATTTGCATTACTAATTTAATTGTTTATTAAATAAATAAATAAATTGATCAACAAAACTTTCCCATTATTAAAGTTTTTAACTAACTTGTACACAATACATGTATTATGTTTAAAAATCTAAATAACTGGATTTTTTCTCTGCCTTTATGTTGCCCAAGAATTTTACACTAGAAAGAAAAAATACATTAAAATAATGTCTTTGTTAAGACAAGGAATTTAGCAGGATTCCTATCTTACGTATATTCAAGTAAGAAGTTCAAAGGTCCTGCTTTTCTAATGCTTTTGGACAGTCAGGTGGGGTTATTAAATGAAGAGAGACAGCGGCAACCAAATAGCATCAATAAGCTTATTTTCTGTTAAAATGGTTAAAAAATCTTATTGTGTCGATTTTGGTAGACTTTGGTTTTTGAACGTCATCCCTCATTTTCCATATTTATTTGGTTTTCAAAATGTCAATTAGAACTGACCATATAGTGAAATTTCCAAAGTATAATTTCAGCAGGAGAAATGGTGAGGTCAATAAAGCGGTAACGTCAGTAAAATTTAGTTTAAAAGAATAAAGTCCCGCTAAATTGCACGTTATTTAACGGCAATACTCAGCATGAAAGCAAAACCACTGCATTTACCAGAAATGATTTTAAACATCCTACCTATGCGACTGTAAAACTTTGTTCCAGCATCGATGAGTGTTTCATTATCACCAAAGTAAGTGCAACCAGTGCACTTCCTTGTTTCTGAATTGTAGAATATTGCGAAACACAGGTCAGTGTTCGAACATAGTACAGCGCATTCCACCCAAGATGTCACACTGTCTGCCTTAAACACGGTTCTATCCGAGATACAAACCTGACCATCATTGTTGTACAACCGGCCATAGTTTATAAATCCAGCCTGGTAAATACTTCCCGAAGCAACGTTCAATTGTCCACTAAAGAAGATGATAAAATACATAAAAAAACAACAAAACGCCGTCATTTTGACTCGGTACTTATGTCTTCGTGCACAATTAGTGATGCTACGCGTGTCTTAAATTTTCGTTAAATGCCGATTTATTTAACAAAGCAGCAGGACAGAAATTAACACAGAATAACAAAATTGATTTTCGTCCCATATCAGTCCACTACTTAACCACTATCTTCCTTTGTTATCAAATAACAATGGCATTCCATTACTCTCAGCGGCACCAATGGGTCACGTGAGAAGGAGATATTAATTATTTACAATGCAAATTCAGGTTTGACTTATTTGCTTTTACATGAGTTTTTTTATTTAGGACGCAGATTTCCAAGAGAGGTTATGTCTATAATATTCAATCTGTCAAAAAAAATTTCAGACATATTATTCAACATCTGAAGTTTTTGTTCTTCTGACATTAGATATAACACTTTAGTTTGCTGGTAATATCATCAATGTCCATCAAGTCCATGAATAGGGTGAAAAAATAGGCATTTGTAACATCCTCGATGAACAAAAATTGAGGTCTAGAAAAACAACTATATTTTAAGTTTTAAATTTTTTTTTAGCGAAAATAGAATATGCCAAAAATAAGTTCCTGGAAATGGGTTGGAAATTGGATAATGCATTTATATGATGAGCAATAGTATTTTATCTGCTAAAGATATGTCATATTGAATTATGTATTTGTATGATGAAAAATAGTTTCTTTATTTAAAGATGTGTCGTATTCAATCATTTTTGTATGATAAACAATAGTATTTTATCTTAAGAACTGTCATATCACATCATGTATCTCACACTTACCAACTACATCAATACAGTCACCTTACCTGTGCTCGACCAGCCAAGTGCTCGATCAATAATTATCTTTGTGTGCAATTAATGCATTTAAGTGGAAAAAACATCAGTGTCTGTTTGTTTTATGTGTACCCGATATTTAATCTCCACATCATGCACAAGTACTCCTGGTTTGGTAGAAGCTTGTATGTTTTGCAGACGATATCAAACAATACGAACATACGATAGCAATACAAACTATTTAAACCAGTAAGTAATTTATCTTTTTACTTATTTCCTGTTTTTTTTTATAATAACATATTAATAATTTTTCAAATAAAACTAAAAAAGAAATAAAATTCCAATTTTCAGAAATGTCAATGAAACTTAAATTTCAGCCCAAATGTTATTAAAAAAAAAGTATTGAAAATAAATGAATGCGAGTGTACAGTGTCACATTTAAGGACATCAAACCTAAAACTTGGAAATATTAGACACTTATTCCCATGGAACAGACATCCAACTAACAAAGGCTACAATTGTTTCGATATAATTCTTTATCAAGAAACAGTTAAGAAATCGAAACATATACTGCATGCAAATGCGAATGATAAACAATATTTAATGATATTCACTGAAACATCTGGATGGAAATGTGTCCTATTGGCTGCCTAAATGGTATAACAATAAAACTTATCTTTCCATTTAATTAAAAAGGAAGAAATAAATTATGACTTACTAAATTAAATACACTTATCTTAACAATTAAGTGTTTAATATGAGATCTCTTAGCTCTTCCATTTGCTTCGAGAAAATAATGTTAAAAAGAAGACATACAAAAAGATAAAGAAATTGCACGTACACAATAAAATGATGTATTCTCTACAAATTGCCTCATTGAATCATTTTTAGTATGAAAGTATATTTATATATTAATTCATAAAGAAAGCTATTGTTTTGCATAAAACAAGTTGGACTTTATTTTGATTTGAACATATCTTTGGACGGCGAGTTCGTTGATTAAGGATGAATCAAGTCATTGTCAATCTGGTAAGTATAAATCTTTCTCACTGTGCGTTATTACTAAGATAAGCTAATAATATTCCCGATGTATGGTGAACAATTCTGGTCCGCTTACTTTTTTGATTAACTGATGCTTTCAGTAAGATGAAAAAGCATCTTTATTGTTTTCTTTCTATTAGACCGGTCTAAAATTAAAGGTTACTCATTAAGTGTATTTCCTGCTCGTCTGTGCTCTTACGAACCTTTTGTCTGGATATAATTTTGGCTGATCGATACATTCAATTATTGGTTTTGTGCTGTTTATCACTTATGTAGCGAGTGTCAAATTAAATAAAAAAGAACTTGAATTATAGAAGTAATCCATTTGTCAATGTTTTAAAATATTAATGTAAAATGAACTTATTTCAAGAAATGTGTTGTTACCTTCGGGATCAAAAATGGCTTAACGTATTCTTAAAAACATTTTGAGATCTTTCACATAGTATGAAAAAAATTGAGGATCAATTATATCTCAGGTTCGCGTTTTTGTATCATTAAAAACTATAAAGAAGAGAGAAAACAACAATAAATGTGGGTGAAAATATCAGACTCGAAATACTTAATATTGTCCGTTAGAGAAGTGTAAAGCACAACATCTCCAATTAGGTAAAAGCGTATTAATTTTTCAGAAAAGTATTGGAAACAATGAAATTAGAGAAAAAGTACTTATTCAAGCATGACGTAAATACCCATTTAGTCATGATTATTAACAGTCATAGTTCTATACATGGTATATTCTGTGGGTGATTCTTCATCACTTTATAAAAAATTTTCTTGTCGTCGAGAATGAGATGGTGAAATTATAACGCTAAAATATGACGCCTTTCATTTCTTTTTGCTTTTGCTGTTGCATTCCAGTTTATTATATAAGCATACAGGGCACTTGATCAGCTGGTTCACCTAGAAAAAGAGAAGCAATTTACTACAAGTGCTGCGTGCAGGTATAAGAACTTAACCTCCTGAAAAGTTACTAGTATCTTTAATTCCACAAAAAAAATGTAATAATGTCTGTCTTGAAGTGATGAAACAAATGATCGATGTAACTTGGTATTCGAGACACACGTTCAATCAGAAATCCTGGATTTTAACAGCAACTGCTAAATCTATCATTGTTCAATCTAATCTGATTAAAATCAGCTCTAAATAACGCTCCGCTTTTAGATCTACACGTGGCCAAGTACAAAATCATTTTGGTGACCTTTTACACAGTCAATCATCGGCAAGCTTTCATAAGTTTGAAAGCGATGTGGCTTCTAATTTTAACATTGGGAAAACATATATTGAGTAGGTAATTTTCACGATTTAGAGAACAAACATGGCGTTGTCCATATAGCCGACTATAAGCAAAAAACAACCTTGCCCATTAAAAAATTTGTAAG